GGAATGGTGAGAATCTCACAAAGAAGAACGGCTGTACAACAGTATAAAAAGCAGGGATTAGGCTGAAAATTACGTAAAGCTGACACACATGTGGTGCTAAATGAGAAGCAATGTATTATTGAAAAGCTATAAATCTGAAAAACCACAAAATGGCAGGTTCCAAAATCATACAACTCATTCTGATGATGCATGCTTTACAGTTAGAAATTGGTTGAGTTTTCAGAAACTTAAATTCTGAGGTTATAATGACTTGGGGATCTTCAATGAACGTTGGCTATCTATCAATATATGTGCCACCTTTGATGAAATTTGCAGCATGATCCCTGCTCTTTGTGCAGTTACACAGTGATATACCACTGGACATCAAAGGGACTTAGATCAATTAAAATTGCTGCTGAGGAAGCCACAAATGAAAGTGGAAATGTTTAATTTCTGTTGCTGTTTTTTTTTTTTTTCATGAAAGGGAGAGTGTCATTATTCAGTTGGAGCCTTCCTTCAGGCAGGATATAAAGAGTGTGCTGCCTCACCTACTTGCCATCTAACTGACTGTATGGTTTTCCTCATCGCGTATATGCTGGAGAGCAGAGAGCAGTGATACATAACTTTAGTCAGTTACATCAAAATTAAAGGAAAGAGATTAATTCTAGCACTTTTAATTAAATATTTCGAACCTCTGTTTCTAAGACCACATCTCATTATAGAACATTTGTATAGTGAATTGATAAATTACTGTAATGATTGTAATCGTTTGGTTATTTACAATGTCCTCTTTTTGGATCATTAGAAATGTATCCTTAAAGTGATAATAAAGTCAAAATGTTTTTAAGCTATTTCAAATGCTGATTAAATCACTGCTCACAATGTATGCTGCCCCTTGATGTATCAACGTTTTACAGAGTTATTCACAAAAGTGTGAAGAGTTTGGAGAAGGCAGGAGAAGTGAACAATCAAGGAAAAAATAGCTAAGCTGGAAAGTGAGCTTAATAGGAGAATTTTTCCAAATTAGCTATTTTGTCCTAGATTGTTCACTTCTCCTGCCTTCTCCAAACTCTTCACCCTTTTGTGAATAGACCTGTTAGTTTCCTGCAGAATCAGCTGGTCCCCTGGGCACTGGTCCTGATGTCCTGTTTTAGGGTGGCTCTTTCCCCTTGCAGAGCCACCCTTGTGTGGGCTTGTACGATATGTTTGTTCACAAACAAAAAGGCACTGCATGGCAATCCACTCCATGCTCCCAGCTTCTCCTTCATCCCTTCTCCAAGATCATAGATGGATAGCTGCTGGAAACTGCTCTGTCCCTTGTGATCTTGCACTCGACAAAGTTTAGGCAGCAGAGATGTGAGACTTGGAGCCAGTTGCTTGGAAACATGATGACTGTAAGTGCTTGGGTAAAAATTTAAATAAATACTTTTCTGGGAAATATATATTTATTTGATCTGGATTCATTCTTGAAAAAATGTAATACTATTTTAATATGATCCCTGCTCAAGTGGCTAGTAAATATTAGCCATTGCTAGGAAACATGACAGTTGATATTTGTGTCGCCTTCTTTCTTACTTCTTAATTTTCTTTTGAATTTATTAGATTTTGTTGGCTAGCCCTCATTGAAATCCTTTTTATTTCTTTATTATATGTTTTATATGGGAGGTTTAACGAAGCAATGCATCCTTCTTTTTTGTTCTGTTTTGGTTGCTTCTACTTGTGTGCTTTATTGTATTTGTGTACTTTACAATTTATTTCTCTAGTTTATTTAACCCAATAAACCTGCATTACTGCGCTCCTTCTGCAGAGCAGCAGGTATTGCATACCAGTTTCGAGACAGAGTTTATTATCGGATATGCAGCTCATAATTTAAAAGAAAACTAAACTCTTGAAATAAAACATTTGAAGGCAGAGGGTTTTTTTGGCAGAAGAGACATGCAAAGTACATTCTGCCAAAAACATCTTCCTCTTTCACATAACAATTTTATATTTTCTGTGTACAGTACATGCAGATCTGTGAGATGCAGAGCATGGAGCTGGGTGCTGGGGATGATGCAACTCCTGAGCACATGTGCAGGAGTTACATCAACATTGGCCACCCAATGGCCAAAGAGGAGCAATGGGGGACACAGATGAACCGGTGGAGAAAATTCAGCGGCGTGGGGGCAGTGTTATCTGGGAGCCTGGATCTTTCAGTGCTGTAGGAGAGGACTCCACAGCGGTCCACAGTACACTGTACTTGTGTGTATAAAGGAGTCACCTCTTCCCCTGTATCAATGCTCAGATCTACCAAAACCAGAAGTGCCACCACTCCCTCAGGTTTTCAACATAATTTATTTCAGTAGCACCTGTGGATGGAGGAAGTAGCTTCTAAGAAACTGTGGTAACGGACGTATAGAGGGCTGGGGTGGACTGTCACTTTGCCCTGCATGTAATAAAATTGATACCCGTGAGTATTTTTTAGTTATTTAAACACATAATAGATTTTTATGGAAAATAATTACATACAATTCATACACATGTCAAGGGGTACTTGAGATGGGGTGGTCCATACCAAGGGATTGTCAGTAAACACTAACAGGTATAACCTGCTATAAACTTAAGACAGCCACTCCAACTAATGCGTCTGAAGCCTGAAAAGGTTCACAACATACTGTTTATTAGCTCAATGCCTGTGGCAACCTGTGCTCAGATGTTTTACAACCTTTGGAACTTTTAAGACTTATGTAGTCACCCTAAACTTGGGATATTCCTGTTCCTGTAACACCCTTCACATAACATCTATTTATTATTATGGCCTAAAAAAGAACTATGGGGTAAGTGTTTTTCCCAGGGAGGACATATACTAACCTCCTCCTGTGACCCAGAGATCAGCAGTATATATACTGAGATCGCTGCAGCCGGGACGGATCCCGACAATACTGTCGAGATCCACCCAATTGCGTGAGTGACAGCTGGCTCTGCCTATCTAGTGGGAGAACCAGCTGTGCCCGCCCCCTCCCCTGTTCGTTCCTCCACTCAGCGCTGGAAGATTGGAGAGGGGAGTCACCGCTGACAGTCGCAGCTCACTGCAGGGAGACGATCGGGAAGTGAGCGGAACGGTACATGTTTTTGCTCACTTTCCGATCGATAGAGCCGACCTGTGACAGCTTCTTTGTCACAGGTCGGTTCTAACTATGAGGATGAGTGGAAATCACTGACCTCATAGTTCTCCTTTAACAACTGACAAGGTGGAATACAAATTGTATGTATCAAACTATGCCTCAGTGGAGTGTAAGATTCAATACTGCTGTGGAGTATATTTGCATACTTTTAAGTTTGCCATTGTGAACCAAAATGCAAATGAATCAGCCAAATCCATAAATTCTTTCACTGCCTAACTTTTATTAGATAGGGAAAAATAATGTGTTAGTTGTTAACCATGGTTCCGTGCCAATCTTGCATAAGTTTACAAAATAGTCCTAGTAAGTCGCTTAAAGACAGAGATGGTTTAGCCTGGCTTGTAATTAATCTTCAGAATGTCAGCAAAGCCCTTGAATCCCAAGTTCAAGATAAAAATAACTGGGCTATTTTGAACAAAATATTGTGTCAGGTCATAGTTCATGATAAAAAAGAATGCAGGCAGTAAAAAAAAAACATGCAAGAGAGTGTCTTAAGAGAGGGACATGTCTACTCTCTTCTACTGAGATGCTTGTATTGTCAGTCACTTAGCATACATGTCAAGACAAAGCCCTCCAGAAACAAACTAATAAGTAGTGAACATGTTAGAAATATCAGCTGTGTCTGCAAGATACTTGCCCTGATGGATAAAAGGGTAGCTGAAGCCAAGATTAAACTTTAGGGCAAAGAGTCAACCTTGTTAAAATAAAATGTCAGTTTTCCTTGAAGTACATAAAAGCATCTAGGTTGGTACTAGGCATTTCAAGGATTTTAGAAAAAGTTTTTTTTTTCCTGTTTTTATCTGCTTCTGATGTGCAGTTGTGTAAGTTTATTCCAGTGCACTCACTGAAATCTTTCAAAATGAGTGCTGAGTAGGAGGGCGTCTATCCTATAACTACATGGTTATTCCTAGTGTTATAGCTAAAAACATTGCAAAGCTAAGTAGCGTTTCCATAAAACAGAAGGTATCTACATGTTGTACTTCCAACACAAATATTACAAATAAGGGGTTTGTTTCCTCATTTAAGCATTGTGAGCGGAGTAATGCAAATGTTTTCTTCATGCCCCTGAGCCATTAAGGAGGCGGGCATTTGGGTTACTTTTGGCCCACCTCATTATCACTTGGTAAGAACTAGTTTGTCTTTGTTCCCCAAGCCTATAGAACCCATTGGGGTTGGGTTACAAAAGAAGTAGAGGATGTTTACTTAGCAAAGTGTATGTTCTGTGTAATGAGAATATTTTTGCATGCACATGACTGGATGATTAAAGTTGTTGGATCAAATGATAAATGGCCTCACCATAGGAATTATGAGATTTTGTCCACATACGTGCAGAAAACTTCGGGACCAGTTCCCTATGGGGTGCACAGCATATATCTGCCAGAATTGTGGGCAGCTGAGTATAAGACCCTGGGGAAGGGAATCATTTAAAGGATAATTGTATGAACTGTACTGTTAGCTACATATCTATAACTTGAGCAGAATTTTAAACAGAATGTTGGAATTTTGTAATCCACAACAACTGTTAAGCCCCAAGTAAAGTATGAGACTGTGTAGTAAGAACATACTGTAGTCCCCTATGTTCAAATCATAATATTTAATATCTTTGAATAATCCACATTTTTGTGGTTTGCTGATTGTAATGGCACACTCACAGTGGTATCCTATTGCTGTGGACAACATACTTTCCTTCCATACAGTTTTTGTACATCAGCAACATTAATGCCCAGTCCAGTCCACTTCAAAATGAATAAACAAAATACAGTCCAATCTCCAGAAATATAAGTACATAAGCTATTTCTTCACATGTATTAAGTGATTCATGGTATGACTTCTATGGGACTAGATTATATATTCTCTGACCTTGAGTTTGAAGAGAAGCACATTGTGGTCCCGTAGCAGCTTCTTGGCCTCCTCTTGACTTGCCCCAATCTCTAGTAAATTTGGTATGGCTTCTGCTAACTGCAACTGGATCAGCTCTCCGCTCTGCAAACCACATCAAAAAGTTACCTTCTAGTAATGTATGCATATTTAACATATTTATTGGTATATTTAATAGACCAAAGGGGATCAAATAAGAAAAGTTCTTCGTTAGGATATACTTAGACTTTAAGGTACTAGTGAAAAATAACAAAGTGCATAGGGTACACAGCCTGCCTGAGATTTAGATTTTCATTCAAGCTTAGCTGAAGGGCTCCAGTCAAACCTACCACTGGTACCTGATAATTATTTGGTGCCTTGAGAACTCCTTTTACCTCCTGTTAGTTAAAAAGGAAATGCATTACCTGACTTTCAGTTACAGAAAGGCGTATATATAAAATGTATCAAAGAGCAAGTTTAGTGGTTAGACGTTTCTGCTGCTGAATAACTATTTTTTATAATTGTGATCTGCTCTATAACATTTCTATATTTCACACAAGGTGGTCTGATAGACGTATGCTGGTCTCTTCACCTACCACTACAACCTTTCCATGTCTGAAGGGACATACCTTAAAAAACCTTCCACGAGTCTAGCTTCCACAGACCATCTTCCACCAACATGGCCCAGCTCTACCTCAAAAACCCTTTATATACCCTTATGCTGGCTACAGGCATTAGAGGACAATTTGATGTGTGAGTATGATCTAACCACCAGGAGATTGTTAGTGGGCATTTTAATGCCTATGGAAAAGGTATGGTAGGCAGGACAAGACTGGTTTGGTGATCGCTTATCATATAAGGGAAAACCATAACAATTGTCTAAAAACACCCAATTACTATCAGGGTTATTCACAAAAGGGTGAGGAGTTTGGAGAAGGCAGGACAAGTGAACAATCTAGGACAACATAGCTGAACTGGAATATGAGTTGAATTGGAGGATTTTTCCAAATCAGCTATGTTGTCCTAGATCAGGGGTGCCCACAAGGTCGATCGCGATCTACCAGTCGATCGCGTAGCGATCACTGGTAGATTGCCATGTCCTCTCCTCCCGCCGCTTCTCTGGATCCCCGCTGCTCTCCCCAGCGGGGATCCGAGAAGAAGTGAAGGAACCGGCGGCGGGGGAGGGCGGAGGACGGAGCCGCTGTCACTAACTAATGCAGAGCAGTGAGGAGAGAGAGAGAGACGCTCGGCCAGGATCTGACAGCCGGCGCCTCTCTCTCCCCTCATTGCTCGTCCGTTCTGTCACAGCGGCTCCGCCCCCCCGCGTCTCGTGGTATCCCACCGCTGCGTCTGCCTGTTCGTTGGTAGATCTCAATGAGCTCGTCATTTGAAAAGTAGATCTCCAGACGAAAAATAGTGGGCGCCCCTGTCCTAGATTGTTCATTTCTCCTGCCTTCTCCAAACTCTTCACCCTTTTGTGAATAACCTTGTATATATCCTATGACTGGCCATGAATAGCTAGGGTGTCTAGTACCATCTGCTCCTGTCTATATACATAATCAATGAACAATTATCCCATGAATTTTGTTGTCCTATTTATAATAGCATGTTCATTGATTTTATTCATGAAAATAATTTGTCAGTTCTCTTTTTACAGTTCACCTTGTGGAAACAGATTTTCTACTGTTGTTACGTCTTTTTGCTGTATCGTAGACACCATATTTATAAAGAGACATAAGTTGCCTGAAACATAATTTGACTGAAAAAGATTAGGCTGACACCACCATGATAGTGATGTAAATAGTTACTAGTATTAAGTAAACTGCCTCTTCCTTTGTCTCTTTGTGCTAGTTCAACAGTTGTGTTTGCCATCATATGCCAAAATATGCCACTGTTCTCGAAAACTTTAACTGACCAGGTCACCATTTTTCCAGCAGGCCAGTTACCTGTTCAATCCTGTAAAAGTGTGGACAATGGTTGGCATGCATGTGTCCTACCAAAAGTGGAGTACAGCTAGATTTCTATATACCGTGTCTTTGTGAATACATTTGGGCCCTGTCTGTATCTTTAAACTGTCTCAACTCTCGCCACATGTATCACCATGTTCTTACATTTCTTATTGTAGTGTAAACTGAACTGCTGGCGGAAATGAGACAGGCAAATGTAAATAAACCAAACAATTCAAGCTTTTCATGACTGGATTAATGCTGAGCAGTAATAGCACTAACTAAAGACTAAGGACTGCTACTGGAACCAGTGCTACATGTTTCCTATTGGAGATTTATTATATTAAGCTGCTGTTTAATGTCTTTAGAAGTCTGTGTATATTCTACGGAAGAACACTGTATGTATGATGATTTTTCAGGCTGGGTTGTTCAGTGTTCTTCAGCCATGATAGATATTGCCAATGTTATTTAAAATGTTTAAAGTTTATTTTAGGCCCTATATACATTAGTGCTGGATACTAAATACACTCAAGGCTACTGGATATAATCACAGTATAATTCTTTCATAATCCATGCAGACATTAAACAGTACATTGTGTAATATGAGCTGACTGATGGACATGCTCATAATATAGTTTTATTAACCCTCTGCATATTATATGATTATTAATGACTTATAGAGCACAGTCTTATTATAATTACCTAAAATTTGGACAGAATTAACATAATGTATTAAACAAATTATAGAAGAGTTCTTAATCCTTTGTTGACATTCTTTGGTGCTCCTGATTCAAACAGAAAGTGTGGGCAGCATTTTCTATGAAGAAGATTGGGGAGTGGATGGTCTTGGTCAGGCTCACCATTTTCCCCAAGCCTAACCCAGACCATATCCCCATCTTCCTATTGTAAGTATGCTACCCATCCCTTCTTTTAATATCAAGCTTAATGAAAGCAATAAACACTGGCCTGGAATTTGGGTTTCTTTTGCAAAACAAAAAGTACACATATTTAATTGGAATTTGGCAGCATGTTGACTGCCAGTTGCAGCTCTAAATAGGTGCCTAAATGTAAACTTATCCTTTAATGTTGTATGAAACAGCCAATGAGGTAGAGTTAAACTTGTAAAACCTGCTTGCTGCAAAATGGGGAGCTGTGGAGCTTGTTGTATTTGTAAACAGGGATCCCAAAAAGATAAAGGATTTCCATGATAAAGGCACCAAAATTCAGATTACATTATGTTCATTAGCTGTCTTATGAAAATAACTTTATGGTATAAAGTAAGAAATTCTGGGGACTCTGAAAGAGGATTCATAAAATGAAGGGGATATAAAAGGGGGCAGTATTTTCTCTTTTAATAATTGTTTTTGTTTTTACAAAGATGATGTACAAAATAATAATAAGCATCATTAAAGTGTCATAAAGCGTGGTAGCAATACAGGAAAGTTACAAAAACAATTTCTCTTAAAGAAATGTAAAAGTTTAACATAAAACTATTAGTTATTACCTTTGTTTTGAGATATAAGAAAAAATATAAAACCTTACTATAGGTAAATACATGGTTATTTGCTTCTTAATAATTCCAAGTTATATGAAGGAAAAATATATATCGACAAACATATCAAGTATAAATCATTAAAATATATTGTTTTGATATATTTTGTCATTATAAATCTGTTTGGATGTATGGTATTACAGGTAATATTCACCTTCACATGAAGGGAGCATATTTATGTCATAATATTGTGCACTTTTATTATAACATAAATTTGCTCCCATCATGTGAAGAAGAACATCATCTACTATACCACACATGCAGGCTACACATTTTGTGTCTGTATAAGTAAGATTTAGGGTTGCACAGATACCAAGTACATGACTCGGTACAAGTACGAGTACATGTACCGATACTTTTGAGCTCCAAGACTAGACTAGAGAACAATTCAAAAAATAAGAGGCAGCTGTCATTTGTAAGGAGCACACGGAGCTCCTGGAATTTGTACATCTCTGTTTTAATGTACGATTTTGTTTTTATAAATATAAATAAAGGGATGCACAGATACCAGTTTTGCGAGTACGAGTACTGGTACTTGCCGAGTACTTACAAGTACAAGTACTGATACATTTTTGTTTATTGTCATGTGACAGTTTTTCTAAAACAATACAGACTAATGGTTTCAGGACAGTGGTGGAGTGCCAGAGCCAGGTCCCAGCTGCAACCGCTGCAGCTCTGGTAGTTCTCATGAAAATGCCAAGTATCTGCACTACTACTCAAAAAGTATCTGTGCATCCCTAGTAAGAATAACAATTAGAGGGATATTATGGAAAGAAGATTAAAAGAAAAGGGGAAATACTAAAGGTAATAGTAAGTGTGAAGATTAAATGAATAGAAAGGGCTCTGTTGGAAATCCTCAGCCCCCTCTTATGTCTTTAAGGGGCTGCAGAGTGGGTTGGTAAAACCTCTGCTCCTCCTGTTTGCCCCTGACCCGCCGCCGGTTTCCTTACCTCCAGTTTAAGCATTTCACACATGACCTCTCATTGGTGGTCTCTCTCTCTCTCTAGAGCACTCACACCCTTTAAACCACTTTGCAGCCTTCCATGCATTAGTTATAATATGTGGTGCAGACATGAAAATACAAATTAAGACTTGGTGTTGATGGTTATGGTGATGGTAAATTTGCAGGGACAAGTCTATAATTTTGCAGGGACAAGTCTATAAATTTGCAGGGACAAGTCTATAACTTTGCAGGGACAAGTCTATAATTTTGCCACTTTATAGATCATTGGTTCGACCTCATCTGGAGTACGCGGTCCAGTTCTGGTCACCAGTACTAAGAAAAGATGTCCTTGAGTTGGAAAAAGTCCAGCGAAGGGCAACCAAACTAATTAGGGGCATGGAGGACCAGAGCTACGAGACGAGGCTACTAAATTTAAACATGTTCACATTAGAGGTGAGGAGATTAAGGGGGGATATGATTTCCATGTACAAAATGTTTAATGGTGGTAGCAACATTAGCGATAAACTGTTTAAAATTAACTCCGTTACAAAAACTAGAGGCCATAACCTAAAATTGGTGGAAAAAAAATTCCAGCACAAGGTGCGAAGGGGGTTCTTCACAGTAAGATCAGTTAGGGTCTGGAACTCACTGCCACAGGCGGTGATTTCAGCAAATAATGTGGAAT